GAGGCATTTTCACCTCGAATTTTCTGTTCGAAAACCGATTTGTACGACATTTGAAATATTCGAGAACAGGCATTGCTCTGTATATATAATTTTCCATTTGGCTAATGGTTTAAGATACAGGAAATTATTTCAGTTTTATGACAGCTTCTTGCAAATAACTCAATAGTACACAGAAAAAAAAAAAAAAAAAAAATGAAAAGGATTACAACTTTTCGATGCTATTACCATAAAGTACCAAGTCTACAATCAAGAAAATCATGTATTTACATTCTCGGAATCCATATTACGTCTCGATCACCAGATAGTTTTAAAAACTGAACAAATGCTATTACGCTCGTGTGTCAAAACTCAAAAATTATTCCATAGGTGCAAAATAACAGACTTTGAATGTCATCAATTTCTTTTTTCCTTCTTGAAGCCATTTGAAAGCTAGGAACCTTCACAAGAAAGAATGCGGACTGTGAGCAGTTTCCTTCAGAGCATCAACATCAAGATACAGAAATTAAGATGTGAACAAGTAAAACTTAAAAATATCATAAACGTAATTTTTCTCTTGTCTTCAACAAATGAATGAACATTTGATACACTCAACTGAATTGGCTTGACCTATTATGTTGCTTCGAATATTCAGGCCGGTTGACGAAAATAAATATACTGTTTAATAAATAAACGGAGCGTCATTTCAAATCGTTTTATTTATATATATATATATATATATATATATATATATATATATATATATATATAATTATATATATATATATTGTGTGTGTGTGTTTGTTTTTGTTTACAATATTAAAAATTTTACGATTGGTCATATAAACAAACTATTTAATAATTTAAATTTTTTTTTAATATGTTCTCTATAAATGTGTTAATAAATAAAGTATTTAATTTATATTAAACAAACCCTCCTCCCCAATACTTTTTGAGAGAGATGTTGAAATTAATAATAAATAAACTCTACCATGTCTATTTAAATCTCTAAACTATTTATAAAAAAAAACATAAATATTTAAATTGAACATAAGCATCATATTAATTTTTTTTTTTTTTAGACATCTAAATTACTATCAAGCTGTTCTTTACATAAATTGCTGAAACCCAATTACAGCCTCTTTCTCTTTACTTCTCTCTCCCTCTTCTTTGTCTTCCTTTTCTTTTCTCCCTTCTCCCGTCCCATTTCAGTATATAACTTTCGTTAAGTTAACCGTCTAAATAGGTCAAGGTCTGGTCACTCCTCCTCCCCCAAAATAAAGTATACTTGAGAGAGATATGAAATTAATCCCTCCCTATACTCTACCATGTCTCTTTAACTACTCCCTTTTACACTCTCTGTTAAATTACAAAAACTTACACTACCCATCAATTTTAATTTCATTTTTCGTTTCATTTCATTTTTGGATGTGCGATCTGATGATCCGGCGTCCATTAAAAAGGCTCTGGTGAAATAAATTATTATAATGGTACCTTAAAGTGGTCTGTTTTTCTTTAATATATATATATATATATATATATATATATATATATATATATATATTCACACACACAGACGAGTAAGAAGAGGCGGACAAAAGGACTGAGAGTAGTAGTTTGAGTATGTGTTAGGCGACTTTCAAAGCGCGTTTATGAACTCTTTGTATAAGTGCAAAAGCGGCAGGTTTAACAAAAAGTCGATGAAAAGACTTTTAAATGCCCGGCTTAAAAATCTCTGAGTGCATTTGCGTGGATGCCGTAACGAAAGATGGAAAGTTATAAATAATATTTGCATATAAATTACAGCTCATTGTTCGCGATGCCCTCTGAACGCCGAGCTGTCCTTTGTCATCGCCCCATTGTGTTTCATATTGTTTCTGTTTTATTGGTGTTAGTCTTTGAAAATATTGTTGCGCCTACAGACGGAAGAGAGATAGAGAGAAAAAAAACTAAAAAAATAAACGAGTAATTCACAAGTAGAATGTGAAAACGAAGATTGTTGTTATCGGGCGTTTCTTTGGTAAGCTGTTTTTCTCTTTTTTTTTTTTTTTTTTTTCATTTTTTATACTATTTTTATTTTATATTTTTGCCCAAACAGATTGGAAAATTTACATCTCTGTAACAGACCCATTATCCATACAAAGTATGTCCGAAAAGTATCTTTCCAATATATCAAGAACCGGCTCCGCGTCCTTGATGCTAATAACGCTCTCCTTGCCTGGGAACCAGTCTCTCCACGTCTTGCCCGTGTCCGTCTGCGAGGATCCCTATTCAACATATCCATAATAGCTGTTTATGCCCCAACTCTTGATGCTGATGAAGTCGCCTTCTACGACAGCCTCCTGGCTGTTGTGGACGGCACTTCTCCTAGAGATTTTGTGGTTATTTCGGGTGATTTCAATGCGCGAACTGGTACCGGTGATGCCAATAAAAGACATATTGTCGGACCATTCGCTATCGGTGACCGCTGCTCGAACGGGGAGTGGCTGATCGACTTTGCTGCTGCAAACTGGTTTACTGTGTCATGTACTCCATTCCTCGGTGGCACCTGGTGACTTGGTACTCGAATGACGGTGTCACTCGGAACCAAATCGATCATATCCTTGTCAAATCACGGTGGGCCTCGAGTGTCCTGGACTGTCACGCATTCCGGGGAGCCGAAAAAGGCAATGAGCATGGCTCCGATCATGTCTTGTTTCGTTCAAAGATGTGCCTTCGCATGAGAGCCAACCTACCATCTAACCGCCCTGTGAAATACAATATTTCGCGACTCAGATGCCAGCAAACCAGAGCCGAGTTTCAGCTCCGGTTATCAAATCGCTTTGCCGGTCTTCAAGCACTTCAACCCATTGAGTACTCAGCTGAGGACTCCTGCCAGTTATTCAAAAGCAGCGTAAACGAAGTTGCCTCGCAGACCCTGGGTAAAACCAGACGGCGGGCGAAGGACTGGATCTCTGGCCGCACTACTGAGCTCGCAAACCAAACTAAACGAGCCGGTTGCTCCGAGAACGACGACTTCCGCCGATTTCGCCGTGAGACTGCTCGCTCTGCGAAGGCTGATCTCAATACTTACTGGCGAAACGTCGCTGAAGTCATGGAGCAAGCGGCATCAGTAGAAGATTCCCGAAAACTATACCAGACTCTTAAAACGGCAACTAAGGGAAACAGCAGGCTAAGCGAAGTGCTGCTGGGCACGAATGAAACGGCACAATCCGTTGGAATCAGCATTTCGAGACCTTGCTGAACCATGGCCCTCCCTCTCAACGTCCCCCTAGCACACTATCAAACGCCCCCGAGTACGATGCCAACTGCGATTCTCCAACGGAAGAAGAGATACGTGATGTTATCAAAAGATTAAAGAATAACAAAGCTGCTAGCGAGGACGGTCTTCCAGTGGAACTCTACAAGAGCTGTCCTAACCTTATGGCCAGATGCCTACACCCAATGCTCGACGCTGTGTGGCGTTCTGAGCAACTAACTCAGGACTGGAGCGATGTAATTCTCCCCCCTTTTTACAAAAAAGGCGACCGTCGCGATTGTCGCAACTATAGAGGCATCAGTTTGATCGATGTCGCCTCAAAAATTTTCTCAATTATCGTACTGCATTGTTTCCAGAATATCCGGTACCGCCGAAACCGTCCTAACCAAGCAGGCTTCCGGAGAGGCAGAGGATGCATAGATCAAATTTTTTTCCCTCGGGCGAATTCTCGAACAGCGATGGGCTTATTAGCAATCTACCGTCGATTGCTTCATTGATTTCACCGCAGCATTCGACTCGGTGGATCGCAAAAGCCTCGGGGACATCATGCGTCATGATGGCTTCCCGTCCAAGCTTCTCAACCTCATCAAGGCCTACTACGCTCACACTCGAACTAGGGTGAGGTGATACGTGGAAGAATCCGCTTCCTTCGTCGTCCGAACGGGCATCCGCCAAGGATGTGTGCTCTCCCCCATCCTGTTCAACTAGATTAGTGACTGGATCTTGGTAAATAACATGGTTGCCCTCGCGGGTGTCAGAGTTGGCCACCACTGCTCCATCACCGATTTCGATTATGCCGATGATGTTACAATCCTTAGCGAGTCCTACGCGGAGGTCCAGCATGCACTCGACGAGCTCAGTCGCATGGCCAAAATGGTGGGGATGAAAATTAACGCTTCCAAGACGAAAATTTCTCTCACGAACTACCCCCTACCTGATCGAGTGGCTGTAACCCTCGATGGTGAAGCTGTGGAAGAGGTCGAAAGCTTTAAATATCTTGGCGCCAATTTTACAGCCACTGGTCAAGCGAAGGACGAATTCCCCACCTGTATAAATTTGGCTAGAGCTGCCTTTGTCCGTCTTCAAAAACGACTTTGGTCTCGCCAGGAGATAAAACGATCCACGAAGTTGCACGAATCTACGAAGCCATGGTCAGAACAATTCTTCTCTGTGGTTGTGAAACCTGGCCAGAGAGGATCTTCGTGAGTTTGAGGTCTTCGATCACTACTGCCTCCGCCGTATCCTGCGCGTGCGCCTCTCCGACCGGATCCCCAACTCGTCCATCCGCGCCAGATGCAACATTCTGGGCCTGGAAGAAACTCTGCTTAACAGGAGACTCCGGTGGTTCGGCCACGTGCTGCGGCGGCCTGGTGATGAGTTCGTCCGTAAACTGGTGGCGCCAAACGCACCCGCTGGTTGGAGGAAGCGCCGAGGTGGTCAACTCAAGACGTGGCTCGCAACGGTCAAAGCAGATATGGAACTCATGTCCGGTCCTCGCGTTTTCGGGGTCCGACGCTGTCAGTTATCAGTTATCTCCTGTTAATTCAGCTCTCCACCGCCTTAACCAGGTATTGAACTTACACTCTTTGGATTCTGTCACTGGATCTAACAGCTTTATCCACTGTGCCATGTGTCCTTGAGGACACATGGCACAGTGGATAAAGGTGTTAGATCCAGTGACAGAAACCAAAGAGTGTGAATTCAATAACTAAAATTTAGTATGCGTATTAGAAGTGCAATGCTCTATTGAGATTTACATTTATACGTTTTTATTTAATTACATTAAGATTCAACATTTACAAGGCTAGGGCGCCACTCGAGGTAGAGTCACGTTAGGAGGTAATTTGTGCGGATAGGAGTGGAAGATAACGGTAAACCCAGGCCTTGAAGAATCTAAGGTTGTAGTGGTCGAAGAAACATCCTCTTGGGAGTCGGTTTCACAGGACAGTGGTTCGCGGGAAGAAGATGTTCAAGTGGAATTTATTTTTCACTGATGGAATACTGGGGGAATGTAGATGGTTTGTTACTGTGTAAGTGGCATGGCGTGTCATGGTTGGCGAGATCAGGTGTTTGAGCCCTTCTAAATTTATTCTTCTTGAGGTTACCATTTTAATGGCAACCTCAGAAGGAAAACTGCAAAAACTCTGAAACAAGATCGTGAAGGAAAGCCAGAAGAAGGGACTAACCGTTAAGTATAAGATATATGGTCATCAAAAAGACAGGTAGCCAAATGTGTGAGCTTCTGATTGAAGATATTAGAATCAAACAGGTACATAGATTTATATATCTGTGTAGTGTCGTACCAGAGCGTCACTCGAGGTAAAGGGTCACGTTAGGCGGCAATTTGTGCGGATAGGAGTAGAAGATAATGGTTAACCAGAGCCTTGAACAATTTAAGGGTGTAGTGCTCGAAGAAACATCCTCTTGGGAGTCACTTTCTGGGTAGTGTCGTAACAAACGACAGAAATTGTGACAGAGGTCCCCAAGCTCATCGGAGTAGCGGAAGAAGACTTTTAGAAGTATTAAGTCAAATGAAAATTTCGTTAGAAACAAAGAAAATAGTGCTAAACTGGTTTGGTCTATCTATCCTTCTATATGGCTGTACAATTTCCTTCAGATGAAAAGATAACTTAAAGTGATACAGATATAGCCCTACATACTGATGCCAAGAATAGCATGGACAGAATATGTGAGCAATGAGGAAGTCTAAAAGAAAATGGCAACTAAGACACGTATACCCAAAATCAAAAAGAGAAATTTCTGAGACACATGGTAAGGAAAATGGGATTGAAAAATGTAACACTTGCAGGACAGAGTGAAAGAATATGGGACAGGGAAACATCGAGTAATCTAGATAATGCGTTTGGGGTTATGGATGATATAGTGAGGGAAAATGGGGGTTGGTAATGAGACTGACGTCCTTTTTAAGGATCAGGAATCTGCGGAGAGCGGTTTTCCAAAGTACATTATAGACAGCAAAATAAAAGTGTTTCTTTCAAAAGTGGGTAATCAGTTATGTGCCATGCGTGATACACGTTTAGGCAATCATGTATCTTTCGATACATGACTGACGAGGCAGATTTTTTCCCGCGGTAGGTTGCCATTTCTTTCTGCGGTAGACCAGTTGCCATCCAAGGTTATGGAACCCGGCCTGTCCTGATATTTACTATCTTTCTATTTTAATAATCACCAGTTAGTTATGTGCCATGCGTGATACACGTTTAGGCAATCATGTATCTTTCGATACATGATTGACGGGGCAGATTTTTTCCTGCGGTAGGTTGCCATTTCTTTCTGCGGTAGACCAGTTGCCATCCATGGGTATGGAACCCGGCCTGTCCTGATATTTACTATCTTTCTATTTTAATAATCACCAGTTAGTTATGTGCCATGCGTGATACACGTTTAGGCAATCATGTATCTTTCGATACATGACTGACGAGACAGATTTTTTCCTGCGACAGGTTGTCATTTTTTTCTGCGGTAGAACCTGGTCTGTCCTGCTATTTATCCATAGCTGGCGGGGGACGACGAGGTTTCATACCTTTCTCAAGGGTATTAGTACGTGAGTGAATGTAATGGAATTCGAATTTGGCTCTCCGATTCCTCAATCCTAGACGCTATCCATTACACCCCAGTGCCTCCTCCGAATATAATTCACAGAGACAATAGCAATACAGTTATTATATTTTATCGTAGCCAGTTAGACAATAATTACGAATAGCATAAGTTTGCTTTAAGGAACATTATAAAAATGTATCTCTCCTATTGTACAAGCTTAAAATATCAAATTAATTATCTACTTTAAAAAAATTAGAACCATCTCACCTTATTATAAAAAATAACGTCTAGTTAGTTACTTCATTCGTTTAACGGTATATCAACACCTTTATGAGTCATTTAATGCCGAAATTTAATTTTCTTGGAAGCTTTGAAGTAATAAAAATATGTTATGCTATTCGACTTTCACAGGTGAATACATGGTAAATGATACTAAGCTTTTGTGCATATACATGTTTGCGTGGACATAATTATGGAGGCGTGATATGTTTGTTTTATTTTGTAGCATTGTTGAAGTTATATTTTGGAGTACAGTTTGATTTCTTTAAGAAATTGTAGGATATTATATGGATTAATGTCATGAAAAATTTCATGTTGTTTATTTTGTTGGCTGGTTGATTTAGTTTAGCGGAATATCAACCTCTATGGGTTATTTAATGGCGAAATCTAAACAATTAGAACAATTTTATAGCTTCAGCTAAATA